CATCACCACCATCATCAATATCAACATCACCACCATCATCACTGCACCATCATCAACATCAGCATCGCCACCATCATCAATATAAAAATCACCACCACCATCAACATCAACATCACCACCATCATCACCATCAACATCACCACCATCATCAACATCAACATCACCACCATCATCAATATCAACATCACCACCATCATCAATATCAACATCACCACCACCACCACCATCAACATCACCACCACCATCAACATCACCACCACCATCAACATCACCACCATCATCAACATCATCATCACCACCATCATCAACATCAACATCACCACCATCATCAACATCATCGTCATCATCATTTTCACCACTACCACCAGCATTATCACAACCACCACCACTACCAGCAGCTTTATCATTATCAATATAATCAAATTACCTCTGTGTGTGTTACGCTAAACTGCCTCATGACATAATCAGAGTATGACACTTCCTCCGATAGTTCTACCAAAACATTATCAAATATACGCGTACCATCAGATGGCCAGTAACGGTGACATTTCACCTGGTACAGAAATAGAACAGTTAAAGCTATATCTATTTCTTGTCGTACTACTTTAAACATTAAACTCTCTAAAAAAAATTATTGGTATTCAGGTACCCGACCTCTTTAAGGCAATGTTGTTGGATAGTTAGGAAAAAAGCGTTAACTTTGATTGTTAGGTAAAACGACATGAGTTCTATGGATTTGAAATTACACAGCAACAAATGAAAACCACGAATAAAAGTGCACATTTAAACAAACCAGTCATTTTCACGGGCACGAAGTCATAAAAAGGAGAAATGATTCTTGATATGAACATTATGTGTATTGAGTGGATTAGGTCTAGTAACATTGTACTGTAGGCAAGGGTGTAGGCAGGGGGGCCAAGGGGGCCGGGGGCTAGCCCCCCTATCGTGGCAACAAAATGGAGGCTTTTTACGATTTTTACGGTAATTTCTCAATTTTATTTATTTCATATTTTGTAAAATAAACGGTAATGTAAGCTTTTTAATTTTCTTTTTTTATTTTGGTTCGGCGCATTTGGAGGCCCAAACAAAATGACGTTTTTTATGACCTGGGCCTCTCCCTTGGGAAAATCCTAGCTACGCCCCTGTTATAGGAAAGATGCATGTGTTTTAAGAGGTTTAAATTACCTTGCCTCCCTCTTCTTCTCTTGTTAACATTACTATGACTGATGATTTTTGTTCCCAAATCATGCGCCAGAAATCTTCAAATGTGTTTGGCACTGGAGCTTGAGTTGCTATGAAAGCATTCAAACGGCAGTAACCCTGACAACGAAAGTATATAACAGAATTACTTTTCATTCAAGGCGCAATTTTAAAACCAAGCAATGCAAATATATCTGAACAGTACTAGCGAATACTATACTTACATCTATGTAACTAGCGTTAATATAGTCCGATCCGAGCTCTCCTGGACGCATTTTCAAGTGCACGCGAGTTTTTTCATCTAGAAAATTAGGCATCAAAGCGTATATATAAAAGGATAATACTACATGAAAGGATGAAAGGATCCTTGTGTAAATCGTGCTCATATGCTCGACAAGTGACCTAAGACTTGTGTACAATCCCCATCTACCAATACTCACACGGTAATATGTTGGTATACACACCACA